CCTATTTCTCGTTGTTCGCTTTGTGTTGCCGCAGTATTCGCCACACTTTCATACAAATGCAAGTACAATGCGTTTCTATTAGAGTTGGATTTTTAGTTCACTTTAAAGATTGGTTCACTTCTAGATCGTTCAGCTCATTGAACTAGTTTTTATGAGTCTTAGTTCGTTCATCTTATTGAACTATAGTTCACCTATTTAAACTACTTCGTTAGTAGGAGCTGAGTTACAGAACAACAAAATTTTTAGTTTTATAACACATACATAAAAAGATTGAATTAATCTGTAAAGTAAAAAAAGAAATATTGTCTAAATGTCGATGGTCCTCTGCAATAACGACACAATTCAGTCGCCTTCATTCATTTGTCTTTCTCCACAACCACGAACGGATGTTTCAAATTCAAATTTCCATGAGAGCCACCAACAATAGAGTCCGACCGATTAATCGGCATCGGCTACTATCGGCCAAAAGAATCGGCATCGGCCGTTTTTGAATGGTTTTTAGCCGATTATTTTTACTTTTTCCGCAATATAAAAAAATGTTCATCAAAACTTGAGACTGTTTAAAAAAATTTTTTATAATTTTTTTTTTAGTATGTCTGAACAGTTTTTTGTGTGGAGAAAATCCGCAACACCTTCCACAAAAAAATTTCCAAAAATCTATAGCAAGCGCTAGTTACTTAAAGTTTGGAGTTCATTAAAATAAAATTGAATGAGCTAAAAAACTGCATAGGTACTCAGAATGTTTAAAAAAAAAAAAGTTTGAAATTTTTACTAACATGGTTTTTGTTAGATAACGAGCTACGCTTTCATAAAAAAATGAGAAACATTAAATAAACGAAAGGGAAATAGCCAAAGAATACTAAAATGTCGTTACTGTAAGTATTGTTACGATTATCCTTGAATTAATAGCTGACTTCCTAAATCCTTCGGGTTCTTTTCACTGGATTGTGAAATTATTTACGTTACAAAAATACTTTCATCAATAAAAATCTACGGTTACTGTTAATTCACAAATTTTATTCAATACAACACCTTTATAGTCAGCAGAAGCTGCATATTTTCACTACTATGACTACAACTTAGGAATGCGATTTCGAATGAACTATTTTCTTAACATTGAATAAGATAAAGACTATGGAATAAAGTATGCATAGGCGATATACTACTTTTAATACAAATTTACATATGTACATAAATAAGTGAATAAATTTTTAAATGATTATTTGTTTTGTAATATTATTTTTAATGTTTTTCTTTTATTATTATAAAAGTTTATCAAAAACATTTGTTCTTGGATGAATTTATAACCAGGTAGTTTTTTTTAAGGAATCGGCATCGGCCGATTCTTTATCTTAAGGCCGATCAATCGGCATGGGAATCGGCAGTGAATGCATTTCATTTTCTTTTCTTCAATTTTGCGTTCGAAATTCCAACAAATTGCGGTCTGAAACAGAGTGTCCAGATTTACTAAAAAGAAAATTTATAAAATTTATGAAATCGACCCAACAAATCTTTTATTTTAGAAATTAGATATTGTTATAGTATAGTATT